ATGGAGGTTCCTCAAAAAGTTGAAAATAGAGCTACCATACAACTCAGCAATTGCACTACTGGGTATTTATCCCAAAGATACAAATGTAGTAATCCTAAGGGGTACCTGCACCCCAGTGTTTATAGCAGCAATGTCCACAGTAGCCAAACTATGGAAAGAGCCTAGATGTCCATCAACAGATGAATGGATAAAGAAGATGTGATGTATATATATACAATGGAATATTATGTAGCCATCAGAAAATGAAATCTTGCCATTTGCAAGGACATGGATGGAACTAGAGGGTATTATGCTAAGCGAAATAAGTCAATCAGAGAAAGACAATTATATGATCTCACTGATATGTGGAAATTTAGAAGCAAGACAGAGGATCATAGGGGAAGGGTGGGAAAAATGAAACAAGATGAAAACAGGGAGACAAACCATAAGAGACTCTTAATCTCAGGAAACAAACAGTGTTGCCGGAGTGTAGGGGGGTGGGAGGGATGGGGTGGCTGGGTGATGGACATTGTGGGGGTATGTGCTATGGTGAGCGCTGTGTATTGTGTAAGACTGATGAATCACAGACCTGTACCCCTAAAACAAATAATACATTACATGTTATTTTTAAAAAAAAGGAAAAAATGTGGCCTGTGGATCAGCAAACCAGTATCCCCTGGGAATTTGTTCAAAATATGAATCTCAGGCCCCCACCCCAAACATACTAAGTTAGAAAGCTTGTGGTTGGGGCCAGTAGTTTTCCAGGTGATTTTGATACGATGGAAAGTTTGAGAACCATTGATATAATAGTCAAATGGAGTGGTTGCATGTCAGACACCTGGGGAACTTAAAAAAAGATTCTCAAACTCCACCTACAGAGTTCTGATTCAGCAGTTCTGCAGTATAGCCTAAGAATTTATACGTCCCCAAAGGCCCCCAGGTGATTCTGAGTAAACCAGGCTTGGAAACCAATGGGATGTGTATGCCAAGGGGCCATTACACAAGTAAGGGTTGAGGAATAGACTTGGGCGCCTCTGGGGACAGGTGAACTGTATTACGGACTTTTTCACCTGGCAAGTGAGGGAACTGACAACTTGATCTTAGAAATCTTTTTCAGGGGCGCCTGGGTGGCTCAGTCGTTAATCGTCTGCCTTTGGCTAAGGTCATGATCCCAAGGTCCTGGGATTGAGCCCCGCATCGGGCTCTCTGCTCAGCAGGAAGCCTGCTTTTCCCTCTCCCACTCCCCCTGCTTGTGTTCCTTCTCTCGCTGTGTCTCTCTCTGTCAAATAAATAAATAAAATCTTTTAAAAAAAAAAGAAAGAAAGAAATCTTTTTCGGCTTTAAAATTCCTAGGATGCCAGCCTGAATTTTGCAGATCGGGCTGGAACAAGCAAATGATATTGGTAATTACAAAGGCTAATGAGCAACAAGTGGATTTTACTAAAGTCAAAAAAAGCAGCCTCACTACCCACCATAGCCAGACCCTGTAAATCCAAAACAGGTTTTCTCTTCTGCTTTTACTAGGTTTATGAGACAGCAGGTTTGCACTTCAAATGTTCATTTATAGAGTGCTAGACTACACCTGATTCGTGCTAGGCTTGTGCTTTGGGGTTATTTTATTTGGAGAATATTGTTTTTAAATAACATCTTCAGGGAGCTTGCTTTCTAAAATGTGCTGCTTGTTAAGGATCAAAACCACTGACTAAAGCAACCTACTCCTGTCCGTCCAAATATGATTTACCCTGTCTTCTACCTCATCTTTGCCTTCTACTGGAGATGCCAATCGTTTCTTACCCAGTCCCATATCTCCTTTTCAGGAAACTACCATCCCGCTTACAGGGAGTCTGCTCCTTCACTCAACTCCTGCTGGATGAATTTAAATCCATGATGCTGTGGAAAGTTAAAAAAAAAAAATACCTCATTGATCGAGTTTGGAAGATAACAAGATACCAATTAACTAACTTTTGAAAATCAGTAAATAAAAAGAAAAGTTGAGCATTTATCCTTTTCTATGTGAACTGTATTTTAGGCTAATCAAATAGTTGATGAGGAGGAGTTTGTCTTCATACAAGCTGATAAATGGAAAAGGCATGATAAAATCATAGTATCCCCCTTTTGCAAATCCTAATGAATTTATGGATCTAGGAAGTGATCACCAAGGGCTGTTAATATCACAAAAATAAGAACAAGAAGACATAAATCTCCTGATGAAAGTCACAACACTGCCTCTATAGCCTTGCTCACTTGGGAATACAGCCTGTTAAAACACCACTCTGGAAGTGGGCATTGCTCCCATGGTCTCCTGTTTGTGCGTACCCTGAGCCTGACTTCACTGAGGCTTATAAAGGAAAGAGTGAGACTATGTCTCTATTATGGAATGGAGACCCATATAAAGCTTAGTGTACAATTAATACCCAATTCCAAATACTGTAAGGGAGAGTTCCGATTCTAATGTTTAGAACCTTCTAAGGTATACCAAGGTAAAGGGGAAACCCTCAGCAGGGTATGGTTACAAAAAAACCTATCCAAATTCTCCCTGCTCTTATCCCTTGCTTTTTCTGCCCCACGTACAGCTGGTGTGGAAACGGTGGCCTCGTATATTAAAGCCCTTCTAATTTTAGAAAGTTCTCCATCTCTCTTCCAGTTGCTTTAAGACTTTCCCAAGATTTCCTCAAGTACCTTTAACTTCAGCTGTCATTTCTTAATTACACAGAACTTCAGGGAGCTTCCCCAGTTTGCAGATTTACCATCCATCTCCCAATACTTCTCACCCTGGGAGTGTCTGTGCCTTTTACATGATGTCACAACTCTTTTGTCTCTGATTCAAGTGTTTCTGCTTGCTGAGCTTTGGGATTGGGAGAGGGGGTTTCTCTCATGGTGATGTCTTGCAGGAAAGGCAGTTTGCAACAGAATGCAGTCTCCACAAGGATTGCCCCTTGGACAACCTCCCTTGTAACATGAACAAAATCACCCAGAACCCAGCTCTCTGTCTTTGTGTTCTTTCTGCCAGATTGTTACTGTCTCTTAGAAGACTTCCAGGTGGTCCCATGGCACTGGTTTATAGAAAAGTATATTCTGTTTACCTAGTCCAAATTTTAGGAGGAAATCTTACACTCAGCCATCCAAATGCTTTGGAATGTGCTCAGATTCAACAGACAGTGCAATTTAAATTTATAAAACAATATTTGTGATAATAAAAGCCAGCACTACACGCCAGGCACTATTCTAAGTGTTTTCACATGCATTAACTCATTTAGTTAGTTCTCTTATCATTCTTAAATAAGACCTTTTATTTTATTTTAAGATTTTATTTATTTATTTGACAGAGAGAGACACAGCGAGAGAGGGAACACAAGCAGGAGGAGTGGGAGAGGGAGAAGCAGGCTTCCTGCCGAGCAGGGAGCCCGATGCGGGGCTCGATCCCAGGAACCTGGGACCATGACCTGAGCCGAAGGCAGACGCTTAACGGCTGAGCCACCCAGGTGCCCCAGTTCTATTATCATTCTTATCTTATAGGTGGAGAAACTAGGGACAAAGGGGTTAAGTAATTTACCCAAGGTGACAGCACTAATAAGTGGGAGGCAGGCTCTGACCCCAGGCAGTCTGGCTCCAGGATGTGCTGCCTCTCTCATTGTGGGAAAACACCTGAGATTTTTGAGATTCCTAAAGCTGGAGTATAAATTACCCTGATTTGCTTAGGCATGCTGGAAAAGTGGAAAGAACTATAAACGAAAAGTCAGAAAACCCGGGGTCCAGTCTGGCTTTCTCTGTCATCTATGTGTGACACAGAAAATTCATCTTGTCACTCTGGACATATTTATTCATCTCTAAAAAGGAGAGTAATTACATTGGGTAATTGTAAGAATCTGTTCAACACATACTTTGTTCAAACATAACTTTGAAGAAAAGTGCTGTTTTATCAAAGAAAGTTCTAAGGACTTCCATTTTTAGATGAGTTTAGGAGGACTTTGGTTTGACATCTGTTTGACAGTGTAATAAATTCCTACCATTCAATTACTTGTTTTCAAGGTACCATTTTGTATGTCTTGTAAGAACTCACACTTAGAAATGCTGACGGCAGGCTTCAAGACGGCTGAGCCCCAGGAGACACTAAGAAAACCCATGGCTCTGGTTGCATCTTTCAACATGACCAATCCACAGTAAGTAACACCGGGATCTCCTCTCTGTGATTGCTGAGTTGGTACCTCAGAATCGTGGGTGCAACCAACAGCTCCTTCCTCAGCCCTGTGAAGGTGGAGGAGCTCCAGACGATTTTGTCCTTGAGCCTGACATTAAAATGATATGTTAAAATCTGCTCTTTCTCTGAGTTGCCCCACTAATGTCATCTCATTTTTTGGTTTAAAAAAGCAGAGAAATTCTGCAGTCCACAACTGTTGTTATACATCTTCCATAAGACAGGGATCTTCTGATTCCAAGCAACCACTGTACACACTTCCGTTAGCTGGATGTCATGGAAAATGGGGAAAACTTCAAAAGCAAACCTCAAGACAAGATTAGGACGTGCTTAAGGTGAATTAACAAAATGGGAATTGCAAGTAAATTTAGAAATCATGAGAGGGTTTCTAAAAGTAGGCTTTATGAAACCAAGGGCAGAAGTGCTTTCAGTTCCCCGAACCTAAGATGCCATGTAAACCACCACTTCATCTTACCAAACACCAGCGAAGTGGTCACTTATTTTGTGTTTTGCAACTCACTGGCAAAAATACCACGATGAGAACAGCATTCTTTCTGTCACACCATACTGCCCCAGCCTGCCTAGCTCTGGGGCGGGCTGCTGCCATCTGGAGCAGGAACCCGTTATCTCTTGCCCACAGTAATGCTGTGTAACAAACAACTGTGGTACCTGAGCAGAATACAGCATCAGTATCTATTCCTCCATGTGTGGGGTAGCCAGCTAGATACCTGCTCATCTGGAATCACTCTTAGATATGGAGCTTGGCTTGCTGTCAACTGATATCGGTGAAACTGGATTCTGCTCAGTGTGTCCCTTATCCTCCCATAGGCTAGGCTGGTCACCTTCCAATGGCAATATCGGAGGTACAGGAGAAATTGAAGCTCCTTTTCACGCCTCTGCCTGTGTCACGTCTGCTAACATCCCCTTGACCAAAACAAATCATAAAACTGAGCCCAGAATCAAGGCAGGAGAATCATACTCTTCCTTCTGATGGGAGGAGCTCTGCAGGGTCCCATGGTAAAAGGAGAGGGTGAAGAATGGGGCCATTAATACCCATTGTCCATCATAGTGTTCTTCATATCTGAGACCAGAGGCTAGTCTCAACACCCAGGCTATGAACTGTGGGACCTTCACTCCCACCAAGGGAGGCCTTGTTTCCTCCTGCTGAGATGACCGCAGACCAGAGATGGTGCTGGGCTGCTATGACTCTAGCAAGAAAGTCAGGAAGGCAGAAGAAGCCTGTCCCCTGCTGCTCAAAGCCACATCCTGTTAGTCTCAGAAATTCACTCCAACCCTCTGAACATCCCACGGATCAGAAAGTTCTCTGTGTGCAGTTAAGCCACCCGTAGCTTCTGTGAGTAGCCCAGAAGAAAAGAGAACAAATTCAACCCAGCATTGACTTTTTTGGAAACACCTGGAGGAGCCAGGATTCCCCACTAAACACCCACACTTTTATTTCAATTGTTGAGAAACACAGAAGCCTCACATCCTATGACTGTTCTGTCTGAAGATCTTGAGTCATTTTGTAAATGTCACACAATGATGAGTACTATTATCTGTGCTTGACAGGTAGCAAAAAGCAAAGGTTTAAATAAGGCCTACCAAAGAGAATCGGGGCACTGGAAATTACTTGGTGAATTCAGGTCGTTTAGGCTCCCAACCGGTGGCATTCAAATAAAAATCCCTCTTTTTCCTCAATTATCTGCATGATTCAAGCAAGAGAGCAGTGGGCAGATTCGGCTCTGACATTCCTGGATAACTGCCGCTGTGTGTGGCTGGTTAGCTTTCAGTGATGGTTGGAAAAGGAAAGTTTGGAACTTAGGTGGAGGGACTTGTCCCTGCAGAGCTCCTCCCCCATGCTCCATGTCTCTTCTCCATATCAGATGCTAGGGTGAGAATGAGCCCTTAAGGAGCCTCCGTTTCACCTCCTTGTGTTTCAGCTGGAGAAACTGAGGCTCCAGAGAAGCCCCAGGGAGGTCAGCCTTGGAGTCGACACAGAGCCCAAGAACAGCTGCCAAGACTGACTGCCACCCCAGTAGTAAAACCGGCCTCTCAGTGTTCCCTCAGACATTTAATTTCCACTCCTCTCCATTCACACCATCTTTCTTTCTGACCTTCATTGTTTGGCCAGAAGCATAAGACCCAGCCCCTCGGGTTCTACAGGTTAAGAGAGGGTCAGGGATGTGTTGGGGGGACCAAAGACGGCACCCCAGGAAGGTAGAGCAAAGTGATCTAGCCCAGCATCTCTCCACAGGGTCCCTGTTGGTGTTGGGACAGGACACTTCTTCATTGTCAGCCACGCTGCAGGATGTGTAATACCCCCCTCCCACTTCTGTCAGTAGTGACCGAATTGCCATATATCCGCCAGGAGGTTGGGAGGTGATACTGCCTGGAGCTCAGAAGCCTTGTATTGCCGGAGTAGTTGTCAGGTATTCGCAGTGCCCTGCGTAAGCCCACCAGTGACGTAAGAGACTGACAGCTCCACAGAAGTTTGATCAAGTGGCCTCCTTTTCCTACTCTCAGCCTTAAGAGGGGAGATGGAGTAGGACCAGTTTAAGTGGGAAGGGAGTGGCAGCCAGGGACAGCTGGCCCCTGCTGTCCTCACCGTCCAAGGCCCAGGTGGTCTCTCCAGGTCAGTTCCCCAACCACCAGCAGTACATCCAGTCACAAACAGAAACCTCTCTTCTCTGTTGTGGTACAGATGGTAGAAACATTTTAAAGGACCTTTACAGAGAAACCCAGGAAACAGTTTAAAAGAGTATATTACTCCGGGGCGCCTGGGTGGCTCAGTCAGTTAAGCGTCTGGCTCTTGGGTTTTGGCCCAGGTCATGATCTCGGTCCTGGGATCGAGCCAGGTGTCGGACTCCCTGCTCAGTGGGGAGCCTGCTTCTCCCTGTCCCTCTACCCCTCCCTGCCACCCCCTCCCCCTGCTTGTGCTCTCCCTCTCTCTGTCAAATAAATAAATAAATCTTTAAAAAAAAAAAAAAAGAATATATTACTCCAATATAAAGTCTAGGGACCAAAAATCCTAAAGATCTAAGCCCAGGTTTTTCTGGTGGGCAGAATTTCCATCTGGGTCTTTAGCCCCCTTGATAAAGATCCTACCTCCATAGCTCCTATTTTCAAATCTGAGCAATTCCTCCTTCCCTTCCTCCATTGTTCCCCAACTGGTAGAGGACACAGGGGCTTCAGTCCAGTCCCTTGGATGGCCAGCATGGAGGATCGGCGACCTCAAGCTTCCCCTGCTCGCCACCAGCACAGCATAGATTCTGATGCATTCTTCTTCCTTCCCTCGGGGAGTAGAAAAATTACTTTGTTCTTGAGGGTTGACTGCCCTGTTGCCCTTCTCCCCAACTCAGGCCTGCCATAGAAGGAGGAATTTCTGAAGTTGAGATCATCTCCCAACAAGTAGATGAAGAAACCAAGAGCATTGCTCCTGTGCAGCTGGTGAACTTTGCCTATCGTGACCTGCCCCTGGCTGCAGTCGACCTCTCCACGGCGGGTTCGCAACTCCTGTCAAATCTGGACGAAGATTACCAAAGAGAAGGGTAGGTGCCGGGACTGGTGAGTAGCTAAGAAGGCTTTCGCATAATCCCCCGAGTTTCCATGGGTACCTCCAATGAGGCAGCACAGGGGTTAGAGACCAGAAGTTCACATTGGCCACCCAAGCTCTTTTTCTCCTCAGACATTGCTTCCTCAGAAAAATGCTTCGGGCACAGAAATATCTGTCGCTGCTAGATAACCTTTTATGTGACATTTGCTTGGAACTCAGAGATTCATAAAATTGTTTCAGGACTGAATTGCTCCTTAATGGCCCATCCATTACACTTGGGAATCAGGAGACCCACAGGGATTAGGAGCTGGCCCAAGGTCACAGAGACCATAGGGGGTGGACTTGGACTGCACTGCCCATTGTCAGCCAGCTCTTGCCAGGGAAGAGGCTGGGAAGAAAGCATTCTACACTCAGTAACATGCTGAGTGTGTAAGGGAATTTAGCAGCATTTAGCTAGGAACTTTGCAGACATTAGCTGCTCTCTTTTCAGCAAGGACATGTAGGATATGCTAGTCCTTGAGTCAAAGGAGTGGCCCCTACCCACTCCTACTTAGCTTGTCAAGCAGATTGGATGCCTTTGTTCCCCAGTTAATTTCTCATTAGCCTGGTCTGTCTTACAAACCTTCTGAAGCTGAATGGGTGTTAGAGCCGAATGGGGCAGGGGAGACACACCAGTTCGATGCTCTCCTTTTATGTAGGGGAACCTGGAAGGGCAGGAATAGGTCCTAGGGTCTCCCAGCAGGTCAGACTTTTCCCAGCCCCACCCTTCTGCTCATAGAGAATTTTATGATTCATTGTTTGCGTATAACACCCAGTGCTCCATTCAGTACGTGCCCTCTTTAATACCCATCGCCAGGCTAGCCCATCCCCCCACCCCCCTTCCCTCTAGAACCCTCAGTTTGTTTCTCAGAGTCCATAGATAGAGAATTTTAAACATTGGCCAGGACCTTAGGAGCCACTTCTGGGCCACTCTTCTTTCTCAGGTGTCTGTACATAGTTTGGAACATTCTGGCTGCTTTGAATACAAAAATGAAGGATTGCTGGGTTATTTTAGAAGCAAATGAGAGGGCTTAGCTAAAGGTAAATTTGCAGAGCTTGGATTTTCTGTGCTTGTTTCCCGAAGGGGCTCTCCCACTTCCCGAGAGAAATTTCCTAACTATTGTAAAGCCATACGCCTTTTGCAAAAACTGCACCCCAGGGGCTCTCTCTGAAAATATAATTTTCTCTCAGTATTGTGCATAGTAGAGTCGGGAGGACACTGGGGGAAAAGGACAGGCCAGCAGGTGGAAGCTAGCGAAGGGACGCCTGGCATCCTGAGCGCCGTCAGCACCCGTCTGATGGCAGGGCTGGCTTCTGGATCTCCAGATCCTTGAGGCCCTGAGCCAAGGCCGGTTTCAAGCCCGTGCCTCCTGCGCGTTGCACAGGCCCTACGTCTGGTTTAGTGCTTTGCTGCTCCTTCCCAGAGCCCCTGGTGACTGTGACACTGCAGTCTGGTGGTCAGAAGTGGTAGTGCGGCTGGTAACAAGTCCCAATCTTTCCCGAGGACTGTTTCTCGCCCAGCCTGAGCCAGAGTTAGGCCCTTTTCAGGTTTGCAGTCAGGAGGTGGGGAGAGAAACGGGAAAGCCTCCAAGAGTTCTGGTTCGGGGCAGTGTGCACACGGGCAGCCTGTGGGCATGCGGTGCGCGCTGTGCGGCTCCCTCCCCGCCCCAGAGAGCCTGGACGGAGGCCTGCTTTATCATTCCACATGCTCCTGAATTAGACCCCGGCAAGGCTTCTGCTTCTCCAGAGTACAAATGAAGTGCCCGCGAGGCAGAGAGGCTCTTGATTTGCTGTGAGTGTCCAGGTGTGCCCCGGAAAGCTGCTCCTGTTGGGTAGGAGGCGGCCGGGGAGTGGATGTGCCCGGCTGCTGGAGCTCTCAGTGAGGAGCTTGCATTGGCGGCAGGAGGGCTTCCTGGAGGAAGGAGGAGCAGGCCCAGGGCAGAAGCCAGGGGAGGGGAAAGCGAAACAAAAGCACACTGCAGAGGGGATAGGCCTCTCTTCACAAGGCTTCTTGGCTCTTGCTGCATTTCCTGGGGGTTTCCCAGAATTTCCAACCTGGCCTATTCGGAAACACCGCCAAACAACGCTACCTACAGTTCTGGTCAGCCTTCCAAAAGGTGTGACGTAAGTTTCTTTAAAAACACCTCTTCTTACTGTTAAAAAACAAAATTCGTCTCAGTACATTTGAAGATCTGATTGGCTTTATTCAGTGATTTCATGGATTGGGTGCCATGCCATCTAGCAGATAGAAAGGAGGTCTGAGGGGCTGTACAAAATGAAAGACTTTTACAGGCAGAAGGAGGCCGCGCAAGAAAGTTATTCCAGGAAAGAGTGGACTGTTCAGGCAAGGCCACCTTCTTTGAGGGATGGCAGGGTCTGTAAGGAAGATGACCTCGCTGGTGCTGACCAGGTAGTTCCAGATTGACTGCTTCAAGGTGACATTCCTGGGGGAGGCTGAAGCTACAGTTAAGTTAGGTATTAAGTCTCGGTTTGCTGATATGCAGCTTAGCATGGGTGACTCCATTCTGGGCCTGTTACCTCTTTTTAAAAAGTGCCAAAGGAAGGGGCGCCTGGGTGGCTCAGTCATTAAGTGTCTGCCTTTGGCTCGGGTCATGATCCCAGAGTCCTGGGATCGAGCCCCACATCGGGCTCCCTGCTCCGCGGGAGGCCTGCTTCTCCCTCTCCCACTCCCCCCCTGCTTGTGTTCCTTCTCTCGCTGTGTCTCTCTGTCAAATAAATGAATAGAATCTTTAAAAAAAAAAAAAGTACCAAAGGAAGTGTTATATAGAGACATGAATGTTGTCTGTAGGAAATGACGAGACCTCAGGGATCCCAGCAAGAAAATGCCTTAGTGAGCCAGCTGCCCCACCATTCACTTGTTTTTAACTCAGTGGTATTTCAGTGCTTTTACATTACCCAGAATCTGAAAATGTTAGAGCTGGAAAAGACCTTAGAAAACATCTATGCTAGGGGCGCCTGGGTGGCTCAGTCATTAAGGGTCTGCCTTCGGCTCAGGTCATGGTCCCAGGGTCCTGGGATCAAGCCCCATGTCAAGCTCCCTACCCAGTGGGAAGCCTTTTCCTCCCTCCCCTCTCCCACTCCCCCTGCTTGTGTTCCCTCTCTCGCTGTGTCTCTCTCTGTCAAATAAATAAATAAAATCTTAAAAACAAAATAAAACAAAACCAAAAAATCTATGCTAAATACTCTAGTATTCCAGAGAGTGCAAGGAACTTGCCCGTGGTCACACAGCAGCAGAGTCTGAAACAGAGCCTCATCTCCTGGCCCCTGATCCAGACTAGCACTACTGGGCTTCTGTTTGTGACCTGTCCCTTTACAACATCACAGTCATGACTGTGGTTAACATGTCCTGCACACGTGACACCACAGCGGGGCCACACTCTCAGATACCTTTAACTGGTTGGGGTGTTTTGAATCCGTTTTCCCTTTTGCCCATGAAAGCCCCGTGAAGAAGGACCAGTCGCTGTGATGTGGGTAAGCCCCTAGGCATGCAGAAGAGCCCCGTCTCCATCAAGGGCCTTGCCTTTCCCAAGAGCCCATAGTCCTTCTTATGTGCCTGCCTAGCAGAGCCCAGACTACAGGTCTCCACTGCCTGCTCTCTATGCTCCTATACCCAGGCTGCTCAGGGTTCAGGGAGGAGAACCAGCCATCTGTGCAGATTGGCACCTTGGTCAGCTCAGCCTGCCCTAACAAAAGGCTGGTGCCTTAAACATCAGAAACGTTATTTTCTCACAATTCTGGGAGATGGAAGTCCATGATCAAGGTGCCAGCAGGGTTGGTGGCTGGTGAGGACTCTTTGGGTTATAGATGGCTGCCTTCTTGCTCTGCCCTCCCATGGCCTTTCCTCATTACCTGTGGGTAGAGGGAGAATGTGAGGTCTGGTCTCCTCCTCTTCTTTTTTTTTAAATTTAATTTTATTTTATATATTTTTTTATTATTAATGTATTATTTGTTTCAGGGGTGCAGGTCTGTGATTCATCAGTCTTACACAATAACAGCGCTCACCACAACACATATCCTCCCTAATGTTCCCACCCTTACCTCGTATAAATCTAATCACGTCCCAGAGGCCCCACCTTCAAATATCATCACACAAGGGGTTAGGGCTTCAAGATAAAATCAGGCACGGGGGGGGGTGGGGCACAGACATTCGATCCATAATAGCACCTCCCCAGACTCAACATCTCTACTCTCAACTTTCTTCTCGGTTCTGCCTGACAGTGTCCCTCTGTGGTCCTGGCTGGCGGTCACTCCTGGTCCCAGGTGATCATCTCAGATTGCTTCTGTTTTCCTCAAGTCCCCCCTTGCCTTCAGCAGATGACCTCCTCTGCTCCTTCCTCAGAAAGTAGAAACTGTTCCAGTGGGCCCGCACCCTACCCCTCAAGCCCCCGCTGCTCCTTCTAGGGTCCCCCTCATCTCTGAGCTCTGATCCCCTTCTTCTCCCACCTTCTGAATGCGGTTCCATCAGTTACATCCTCACCCTGACTCACCAGGCACTCCTGTCTCACATTCTCCCTTGACTGCATGTCCCCTTTAGCTGCCACCCTCTCTCTCCTCTTCGTGGCCAAACTTCTTGAAAGCCTCATCTGCACTTGCCATGTCCCCTTTCCCTCGCAGTCATTCCTTACATTCCTTACATTCTTACATTCCTGTATCCCTACTGCAGTCCAGCTTGAGCCCCATCTGCGTGGTGGAAACTGCTCTGTGTTGCTGGGACCCTTATGTTATCCTCTGGCCAGCACTGGAAACTAGCAGCGCCTCCGTCCCTCTTCAAACACAGCCTCCCTGTGTCTGCTGCTATACCACACTCTCCTGATTTTCTTCCTGCCCCTCTGGCTCTGCTGTCTAAGCCTTTTAAAAATTGTTCTTTCTCTGCTTGGTCCCTCAGTGTTGGGGCTCTTCATTTTCTGTCTTTGGTCATTTTCTCTCTACTGATTCTACA